ATGGAAGCCGCACTGGGGGCAGTGTCCCCTGCGCACGTTTCCAAGTCCACGAGACAGGGCCGGTGACGAGCCGAACTCATTGTGGCCTTGTGCCTCTTTTGAGTTGGTACTGCTTTCAGGTTGGTTCAAAGGAAGACCACAAGGACAACCCACTTTGGGTCTCGGTCACTGCAATTTTGACGTTTAGGGCAATTGGGGAGAGCCCAGCGCAACCTGAAGTTCTTGGCTGGCAGAAAAAAAAAGACACATGGTCAGTCTCAGGGTCCTCGGCACCATGTTTGCGTTTTGGGAGGCCATGTCCTTTTCGGGGGTAACTTTTTGAGAAGGGATTCCAAAAGGATACCCCCATGTCCTTTTAACGGACATTTGGGAGGCATGTCATTTTCGTGGCTGCTTTTTGTTTGAGAAGGGAAACAGAAGGGACACCCACCCCATTCTTCGGGGGCTCCTTCTTTGGAGACGCAACCGTATTACCTGCAAAGCGCGCCAGCACTGAGCGCATCTCCGATCGATGGGTCGAAACTGGACGCAAAAGGCACGCTCCGTTGGCCAGGATTGGAATTCAGCTGCACGCCCCTTGCCAAATCTGATATAGAAATTTCTCAAACGGTCCCCGTGTGGTACTCAAAGCAATCCCCAGGAAAGGACGCAAAAAAAATCTACGGGACCAATGAGATGTTGCCTAGAAAGCGTTCCCCATGGCCAAGCTTTCGCGTTGCTCGGTATGTGGGTATGAGGTTCACGAACGGTTCGGACACGTTCGCGCTTTTTTATGGTTCAGTTTAGGGTGGGTGTGGGGATACCAACCTACCAACCTACCAGCCTACCAACCTACCAGCCTACCAACCTACCAACCTACACACCTACCAACCTACCAACCTACCAGCCTACCAACCTACCAACCTACAAACCTACCAACCCACCAGCCTCTACTACCCACCTACCAACCTACCAACCTACCAACCTACCAACCTTCCAACCTACCAACCTGCTTGCCTACCAACCTACCGACACACCCACCTACTAACATACCTGCCTACCCAGCTAACAACCTAACAACCTACCAACCTACCTGCCTACCTACCAACCTACCAACCTACCAACCCACCAGCCTTCCAACCTACCAACCTACCAACCTACCAACCTTCCAACCTACCAACCTACCAACCTGCCTGCCTACCAACCTACCGACACACACACACACACCTACCAACATACCAGCCTAACCACCTACCAACCTACCAACCTACCAACCTACCAACCTACCAACCTACCAACCTACCAACCTACCAACCTACCAACCTACCAACCTACCAACCTACCAACCTACCAACCTACCAACCTGCCTGCCTACCAACCTACCAACCTACCAACCTACCAACCTACCAACCTACCAACCTACCAACCTACCAACCTACCAACCTACCAACCTACCAACCTACCAACCTACCAACCTACCAACCTACCAACCTGCCTACCTACAAGCCTACCAACCTACCAACCCACCAACCTTCCAACCTACCTGCCTGCCTACTAACCTACCGACATACCCACCTACCATCCTACCAGCCTACCCACCTACCAACCTACCAACCTGCCTGCCTACCAACCCACCGACACGCCCACCTACCAACCTACCAGCCTACTCACCTACCAACCTACCAACCTGCCAGCCTGCCAACCTGCCTGCCTACCAACCTACCAACCCACCAGCCTTCCAACCTACCAACCTACCAACCTGCCTGCCTACCAACCTAGCAACCTACCAACCTACCAGCCGACCTGCAACAAAGATCCTACCAAGAAACTCCGTCTTCCAAGAGCAGCCTGCCCATACGCCGCCCCATCGCCGCGTCGCTCCTCCAGGTGCTGACAGAGTTCTCTCAGCTGGCCCTGGCAGCTGCGCAGTAGGGCAATGGCCTCAACCCAGTAGGGCGATGGCTCGAGATGCGGGGCAGCCCCGTTTGGGCTGTCCTTATGGGAAAAACTGCCGATTTTGGTGGGTGTCCCCTGAATTGTTGGACCAACCAAACAATCTGTGGGTTTCCTGTTGTTTCCCTTTACCCCAAAAGTGGCAGCCCCAAACCAATCATCATCCTCTTAAAAATGGAATTGGGACAGGCTGTAAATGAATGATAGAATGGAAAACTTACGGTTCCATTTTCCCTTTTCTGGTTGGAATACAAACGAGAAATGGATTTGGGTCCTGGGGGGGTGGGGAGGGAGGGTCCGCCGCATTGACACATACCCGAATGGCTGCACCCTCAGATGGATAAGAAATACAAGGGGTGGTTCAGTTGAGGTGTCCCTCATTCCTGAGCACTCCCAAGGAAAACCAGCCTTGGTTGCCAACGTCTGCTTTTTGTTTCGTCCCCTTCCAAACGACCCCCCCCCCCCCACGAATAGCACTGCCAAAGTCGGAGACTTCTTCCGTCACGGAGAACCAAGCAAACAAAAAACACGTCTGACATGAGTGTTTTCATTTGTGGGGTACGCCTCCAGCTAGTTTTATTTGCTCATGTTCCAATCCCCAAGTAGGGTCCTGAAAGCGTCCCTGTGACAGCGTGTGCCTTGCTATTCAGCTCACATCCTCAGAGTGCCATCCGAAGATGCTGTATTGAAGTCAGATTCTGAAATGCGAGTCCCACTCATCTCCAAGATGCGCGTAGATCAAGCAATAAACAAATGACGATTCCAGCACATTGAACCAGACCGGCATCTTCCAATTGTGACCATGGACTTCTTCGTAAAACCCAGAATTTGACGTTCCTTTGCCCATGCTACCCGCAATCCTCTGACCCATCTCACTTGCCCAAAGGACCTAAAAATAAAGGCCTAACCTTTCGGGGTCATGACTAAAAATGGTTGCCAACATACCTGCTACTCCAAACTCAGACCCAAAAAAACGGGTTCCGAAACATAACCTGGTGTTTGCTGCCCACCCCACTTGTTTGTAGGTTCGAGTACCAGGTAGGCAAAAAAAGGCCGTTTTTGAGGTCGCTTCGCTTTGCACAACTGCCATGGTCGTCTCTTTGTCTGAGCGCCGTCCCCGATTTTTTCCTATGCATGGCGAGGTCTGCCGAGAAAGGCATTGTCAAACCTGGAAGCGTATGTAGGTGTGTGTCAAACTAACACCTGGAGTCCTTGCGTGGGAGAATATGTAGGTGTGTGTGTGGGTGTCAAAACAGAGGACCAAAAAAGCAAGTCTGCTGACCTTTTGGTGTCCCTTTAAAATCCTTGAAACCACCCAGGAAAAGGTGTGCTCCCCTGTGTGTGTTTTTTTTTAAGGGCCCACACTTACACCCAACAGCTAGTTGGCTTTGACCGAACATAGCAGTCACCTTCGGCCCATTTTGAGTTCCTGACCACGGCGTGGCGGCGAGGTTTCGGCCTGATTCGTGGAGTTCTCCCACGATCATGAGGCAATTTGGCTCCCCACAACCCCCATTCTAAGTATTTCGGCCCTTTTAATTCAAGCCTGAAATTGCTGGAAAATTCACGTCCTATCACCTTGCCCGATACCTTCCCTCCTTCCCTTGAATTTTTCGACAGCAAAGGGCCTTGCGGGGCGGGGCAGCTTGTGTAGGTCAGCAAACTCAAACGATTTTGGAGCTGCTCCCCGAAGAACGCGACACATCGAATCCGCCGACAACAGACGGCGTGTTGGACACAAAAAATGCTCCTTACCTCTTTACCTGTTACCCCTCCCCTAACCCCTCCCCAATAGCACCATTTCAGACTATTGCGTCCACGTACCACGCGGTGATTCGAAGACGCTTCACTAAATTTGTGCGGGCTTGCGCTTTGTCAAAAACATTGGGGTGTTCGATTCCCCCCGAGTGCGCTTTCGCATCCTTAGCAGCTCCAGCGGCACATCGCCAGCATTACCTGCATCATCCGCATCAGCGCCTGCCAAGGATGCGGATGATGCAAGTGGTGCTGGGGATGTTGCCCATGCTGGTGAAGGAAATGAAGGGGGGAAAGACGGAAAGGATCTCAACAGCGAAAGGGGGGAAAGATCTCAGGGAGGAAAGGGAGAAGATCTGGGGAAAAAATGCCTTAAGGGGGAAAGGGGGGAAAAGATCTTTGGGAGGAAAAGGGAAATCTTTCTCGGGGGAACAGGCCCTAAGGGGCAATGGGGGCACAAACGGGAAAGGGGGAAAAAGACTTTGGGAAGAGAAGGGTGGAGATCTTGCGGGGAAAAGGCCTTAGGGGGGAAACGGGGGAAAGGATCTTAAGCGGGAAAGATCTTAGGGAGGCAAAGGGAGACGAACTCAGGGAAAAGGACTTAGGGAGGAAAGGGGGGGAAAGATCTTTGGGAGGAAAGGGAGAAGAACTGAGGGTGGGAAAAGGCCTTAGAAGGAAAAGAGGGAAATACATGATCTCAACAGGGAACTGGGGGGGGGGGGGAAAGATCTTAGGGAGGAAAGGCAGAAGATCTGGGGCAAAAAGGCCTTAGGGGGGAAAGGGGAGAACTGATCTCAACAGGGAAAGGGGTGGAAAAGATCTTAGGGAGGAAAGGGAGAAGATCTGGGGAAAAAAGGCCAACAGGGAAAGGGGGGAAAAGATCTTAGGAAGGAAAAGCGAGAAGCTCTCAGGGGGGGAAAGGCCTTGGGAGGGAAAGGGGGGAAAGGATCTCAACAGGGAAAGGGTGGGAAAGATCTTAGGGAGGAAGGGGGGGGGGGGAAATCTTAGGGAGGAAAGGGAGAAGATCTGGGAGAAAAGGACTCAGGGGGGAAGCCCAACAGGGAAAGGGGGGAAAAGATTTAGGAAGGAGAAGGGAGAAGCTCTCGGGGGGGGGAAAGGCCTCAGGGGGGAAAGGGGAAAAGGATCTCAGCAGGGAAAGGGGGGGCGAAAGATCTTAGGGAGGAAAGGCAGAAGATCTGGGGACAAAGGCCTTAGGGGGGAAAGGGGAGAAATGATCTCAACAGGGAAAGGGGTGGAAAAGATCTTAGGGAGGAAAGGGAGAAGATCTGGGGGGAAAAAAGGCCAACAAGGCAAGGGGGGAAAGATCTAAGGAAGGAAAAGGGAGAAGCTCTCAGGGGGGGGAAAGGCCTGAGGGGGGAAAGGGTGGGAAGGATCTCAACAGGGAAAGGGGGGAAACAATGTTAGGAAGGAAAAGGGAGAAGATCTGGACAGGCCTTAAAGGGAAGGGGGGAAAGGATCTCAACAGGGAAAGGGGGCAAAGGATCTTAAGGAGGAATAGGGAGAAGATCTCAGCGGGGGGAAAGGCCGTAGGGGGGAAAGGGGGGAAAGGATCTCAACAGGGAAAGGGGGCAAAGGATCTAAGGGAGGAAAAGGGAGAAGATCTGAAAAGGCCTTAGGGGGAAAAGGTGGAAAGGAGCTCAACAGGGAAAGGTGGGAGAAGATCCTAGGGAGGAAAAGGGAGAAGATCTTGTGGGGAAAGGGGGAAAGGATCTCAACCAAGGGAAAAGATCTTGGGGAGGACAAGGGAGAAGATCTCAGGGGGGGAAAGGCCTTAGGGGGGAACGGGGGGAAAGGATCTCAACAGGGAAAGGGGGCAAAGGATCTTAGGGAGGAAAAGGGAGAAGAAGGGGGGAAAGGGCGGGAAAGGATCTCAACAAGGAAAGGGGGGAAAAGATCTTAGGAAGGAAAAGGGGGAAGATCGCGGGGGGAAAAAAGGCCTTAGGGGAGAAAGGAGGGAAAGGATCTCAACCGGGAGAGGGGGGAACACATCGTAGGGAGGAAAAGGGAAAAACTCAGAGGGAGAAAGGGCCCTAGGGGGGAAAGGGGGAATGGATCTCAACAGGGAAAGGTGGCAAAAGATCTTAGGAAAAACAAGGGAGAAGATCTCAGGGGGGGAAAGGCCTTAGGGGGGAAAGGGGGGAAAGGATCTGAGCAGGGAAAGGATCTGAGCAGGGAAAGGGGGGGAAAGATCTTAGGGAGGAAAGGGAGAAGATCTGGGGGCAAAGGGGAGAGAAATGATCTCAACAGGGAAAGGGGTGGAAGAGATCTTAGGGAGGAAAGGGAGAAGATCTGGGGGAAAAAAGGCCAACAGGGAAAGGGGGGAAAGATCTACGGAAGGAAAAGGGAGAAGCTCTCAGGGGGGGAAAGGCCTCAGGGGGAAAGGGTGGGAAGGATCTCAACAGGGAAAGGGGGGAAACAATCTTAGGAAGGAAGGGGGGGGAAGATCTTAGGGAGGAAAGGGCGAAGATCTGGGAGAAAAGGACTTAGGGGGGAAAGCCCAACAGGGAAAGGGGGGAAAAGATCTTAGGAAGGAAAAGGGAGAAGCTCTCAGGGGGGGGAAAGGCCTTTGGGGGGAAAGGGGGAAAAGGATCTCAGCAGGGAAAGGGGGGGGGGGGGAAAGATCTTAGGGAGGAAAGGGACAAGATCTGGGGACAAAGGCCTTAGGGGGGAAAGGGGAGACATGATCTCAACAGGGAAAGGGGTGGAAAAGATCTTTAAAAAAAAGGGAGAAGATCTGGGGGAAAAAAGGCCAACAGGGAAAGGGGGGAAAGATCTAAGGAAGGAAAAGGGAGAAGCTCTCAGGGGGGAAAGGCCTTAGGCGGGAAAGGGTGGGAAGGATCTCAACAGGGAAAGGGGGGAAACAATCTTAGGAAGGAACAGGGAAAAGATCTGGAAAGGCCTTAAAGGGAAGAAGGGAAAGGATCTCAACGGGGAAAGGGGGCAAAGGATCTTAAGGAGGAATAGGGAGAAGATCTCAGCGGGGGGGAAAGGCCCTGGGAAGGAAAGGGGGGAAAGGCTCTCAACAGGGAAAGGGGGGGAAAGATCTCAGTGAGGAAAGGGAGAAGATCCCAGGCAGGGAAAAGGCCTTAGGGGGGAAAGGGGGAAAGGATCTCAACAGGGAAAGGGGGCAAAGGATCTAAGGGAGGAAAAGGGAGAAGATCTGAAAAGGCCTTAGGGGGAAAAGGGGGAAAGGAGCTCACCAGGGAAAGGTGGGAGAGGATCCTAGGGAGGAAAAGGGAGAAGATCTTGGGGGGAAAGGGGAAGGATCTCAACCAAGGGAAAAGATCTTGGGGAGGACAAGGGAGAAGATCTCAGGGGGGGAAAGGCCTTAGGGGGGAAAGGGCGGGAAAGGATCTCAACAAGGAAAGGGGGGAAAAGATCTTAGGAAGGAAAAGGGGGAAGATCGCGGGGGGAAAAAAGGCCTCAGGGGGGAAAGGAGGGAAAGGATCTCACAGGGAGAGGGGGGAAAACATCGTAGGGAGGAAAAGGGAAAAACTCAGAGGGAGAAAGGCCTTAGGGGGGAAAGGATCTGAGCAGGGAAAGGGGGGGAAAGATCTTAGGGAGGAAAGGGAGAAGATCTGGAAGCAAAGGCCTTAGGGGGGAAAGGGGAGAAATGATCTCAACAGGGAAAGGGGTGGAAAAGATCTTAGGGAGGAAAGGGAGAAGATCTGGGGGAAAAAAGGCCAACAGGGAAAGGGGGGAAAGATCTAAGGAAGGAAAAGGGAGAAGCTCTCAGGGGGGGGAAAGGCCTGAGGGGGGAAAAAGTGGGAAGGATCTCAACAGGGAAAGGGGGGAAACAATCTTAGGAAGGAAAAGGGAGAAGATCTGGAAAGGCCTTAAAGGGAAGGGGGGAAAGGATCTCAACAGGGAAAGGGGGCAAAGGATCTTAAGGAGGAATAGGGAGAAGATCTCAGCGGGGGGAAAGGCCGTAGGGGGGAAAGGGGGGAAAGGATCTCAACAGGGAAAGGGGGGGAAAGATCTCAGGGAGGAAAGGGAAAAGATCCCAGGGAGGAAAAGGCCGTAGGGGGGAAAGTGGGGGAAAGGGAGGAAAAGGGAGAAGATCTCAGGGAGGAAAAGAAAGGGCGGCAAAAATCTCAGAGGGGAAGGGGGCAAGGGGACAATTCCAAAGGGACGCAAGTAAGAAAGCAGGCCTGTAATGTCGCTGAGTCGGAGGCGTTAAAATTGCAAAATGGGTGTTTTGTTTTTTCATTTTTAACAATCGTGGAAGCTGACGATCGGAGGGGTTTGGAAGTCGAGAGCTTTCCTTTTGGGAAGCCCCCTGTCCACTTCCATGGTTGTTGGAAAGAGGGCAACGTGGAACCCCACAACCGCCCCTTTTTGAGCGAAACCTTTGTGTTGGGGACCTCCAAAATTGGGTTGATCAGAAAAGGACCCAATAAAGCCCGGAAGTTGCATCTCGCGGCCAAACACGGCGATCCCTCATAGTCTCCCAACAAGAGAACTGCACGCATCCCCCGAGGTGACAAGCACGAGAAGCTGTCCAGGAAAAAAGGGCAAATCCCATTTCTTGGTGGGTTTTTGGGCTAGATAGACTGGCTGCTACACCTGGGGTCTGGGAAAATACAAATCCAAGCGAACATTCACAACGACTTCCTGAGCTCCCTCTTCAAAAACAAATAAGGGCTCCCTTCCAAGGCTCCGAGTCCGGCTCCCTTACCAGCCAGCAATCTCGACCCATCTTCAGACAACTTGCTGGTGCTCAGGGCATGCGAAATGGAATGACCCCCAACAAAGAACATTGAACTAGTGGTTTCGTTTATATGGGAATCCCGAAACGCTTCATTCCCCTCATCCCTACTGTTGACCCCAGATTAACCAACCCCTGTTTATTCATATGGGGGTGTTCCCCTCCGAAAGTCGTTTGATTCCCCACTAAACCCAGGGGCCCCCCTTATTCATAAGCTGGGGTTGATTAATATAGGGTCCTGGGAGAAGCACCCCCCAAGACCAACCCCAAGACTAGGCTGGAATTAGGACCCCAGCAACAAAAAATACATTTTTGCCTGTAGAAAACAACCCCCCCCCCCCAAAAAAAATGCAAAAACACTTCAAGGGGAGCCCATTCTGGGGAAGAAGAGCCCCTCCTCCGCTCGCATCCGGCCGCGGGTCGCTTTCGGGTCTCCGGGCCCCGGCCACAGCGCCTGCGCGGCGTCGGCCAAGTTTGAAGGGTCCGTGGCCACCATGGCCACGGGCACTTTGTGCAGCGCGCAGAGGGCCGGCACGTGCTGGATGAGCACCTGCTATAGAAGCAATCCCCATATATATATATATATATCCGCCGACATTGCTCGGCGTGTCGGACACCTAAGAGAGGATAGAGGATAACCCCCCCCCTAAAACCCCCCCACGCCCGACGTCTGATACGTGGGGGGGGGGGGCCCCCCCCCCAAGGACCGCGCGGCAATTTGATGACGTTCCACTAAACGTAGTCTTCGGGGAGCCTGTCGCAAAACAGGGGTCCCAGGCTCGATTCCCCCTGCCGGCTCTTTGGTTTGGGGTTCCTGCCTCCTTTTGCAGAAAATCTGGAAAAACTCTGTGTTTTTGGACGTCCTAATTGTGAAAACGCTGGAAAACCCGTGTTTTTTTGCTGGAAATATTGGGGAGCAGAGGGGAAATGCAAGGAAGTGCAAGTGAAATGAGGGGAGGAAATAGGAAGTCGACATGACAGGAAAGCAGCGGGACAAAGGGAAACAAAGGGGAACTGAAAGGGACATGCAAGGGACAGAAATGAAAACAAGGGGAGTGCAGGGGGAAGGAGAGGAAACAAAGCACAAGGAAACCAAGCACGACGGGAGATGTAGGGAAATGACTCGCAACGAAAGAACGGGAAACGAAGCGGACATACCGAGAAAATGTCAGGGACATGAAGGGGGGGCTGAATGGCATGGAAGGGACAGGACCAGGACATCATGGGAAACGTGACAAGGACATGAAGGGGGAAAGCCAGTAGTGAGATGACAGTTCAGGGTCATGCAGGGGCAGTGCCCGGACATCGAGGCAACTCGGGGGGGGACGTGACGCTGCAATGCGAGAGAGAGAGACAGAGAGAGAGAGAGAGAGAGAGAGAGAGAGAGAGAGAGAGAGAGAGAGAGAGAGAGAGAGAGAGAGAGAGAGAGAGAGAGAGAGAGAGAGAGAGAGAGACAGAGAGAGAGAGAGAGAGAGAGAGAGAGAGAGAGGGAGAGAGCGGGAGAGAGACAGAGAGAGAGACAGAAAGAGAGAGAGAGAGACAGAGCCACAGACAGAGCCAGAATCAGAGAAACAGAGAAAGAGACAGACAGAGAGAGAGACAGCGAGAGAGAGAAAGACGGAGACTGAGAAAGAGAGACACAGAAAGACAGAGAGAGAGAGAGAGAGAGAGAAGAGAGAGAAAGAGAAAGAGAAAGAGAAAGAGAAAGAGCGAGAAAGTGAGAGAGTAGAGAGGTTCGAATTAGGGTGCCCTTTTTCTGTAGAGGGGCGTGGACAGGAAGGAGACAGGGAGACAGAAAGAGACAGAGAAACAGAGACAGCGAGAGAGAGAGAGAGAGTGGGAGATTGAGGAGAGAGAGGCTTGGGGGCATGGGGAGAATGGGGAGCAGAGGGAGGGAGAGAGGACGACAGAACGCACGAGGGAGACAAGGGAGAGGGAAGAAGGAGAAAAGGGAGAGGACAATGTCGGCGGACTGAGCCGGAGGCTCTAAAGTATATATACACTTACATTGATACATATATATATATATATGTTTAAAAACAAAGAGTATGTGTATGCAGTCAACCGCGACATATGAAGAAATATATACATATATATATATACATGTATCAATATTAATATCTACAAGGTAAGGGCATCATGGGACCTGGGAGGGAGAGGGACGCCCTTAAATAAAGGCCTTACTATTAAGGGCTTAATAAGGGCTTATTCGGGCTCCCTCCCCCCCTTCATAGCCCTATACCTACATGAGTTTGATGAATATTCCGTTCGGCCCCCCAAATGACTGGGAAACTGTTCCCGTGTGGGAAATATCATCTTGCTGGCTTTCCACAATGGTCATCCCGGTAAAGGACCTTTTGATCAACGCCCATGTGTTGGCCCATGTGTGGGGGGGGGGGGTGTATGTCGTCAGAAGCCAAGCTGATCCAGGCAAGCCATGAGAACCCTACGATCGTGGTGTGAAAAAGCCCCATTCCTTGGGGTGGTTGAACAGTTGGCGGGTAGAAACCGTCTCAGTGCTTCTGGGCAAGCCAAGGTGATGTTTGCCAGGAGCTCCGGCTTAAAGGACACAGCTCCATAAAAATCGCCTGGAAAGCAGACTGTGACCTCTTTGAAGGACCCCAGTGACCAATATTGCTAACATGGAAGCAGTACCTTTATAGGTTGCGCGCCGTTGTTTGCGGTTCAACCTTCCGAAATCGCCAGACTTATGGGTTTGTATCACAGTAGGATGACCCCAACAGTGATCCTTTTGGCTTCCTTCAAAGCCAAAGATGGGTAGCTCTAGAGACGCACACATGTGTCAAAATAGGAGAACCCCCTATGGCCGGCTTCCCTTTTTCCCCAACCAACCAAAGGTGTCAACAAACCACCCGCCCTATCTGGGGCATTGATCTCTGGGGTTCAGGCTGCAGGCGAGCCCTCCGTGCACACAAAGACCACCCAGGCCTGGCTGCCCAAATTCCAGCAATCCTACTGGGGAAATCAACCAACTTAAGTACGATTTACATGGAAACTGATGTTCGGGGGGGGTCCTGGTTTGGACCAATTTCCGTTTAAAGGAACCTGGCCCTGTCAGGTTCCATGTTAATTGGTGAAAGGGTTAGTTCCCCCCAGGCCCATCACCCAAGCTAGGTGGGTGCTAATTTGCAACCCACGCTATAAGTTGGGTGAACAAGACTGCCACCAGGCGAAGTCAAGGGCAAGGCAGAAATTTGGGTATGAATGTGCAATCACTTGTGGTTGTGAAGTCTATGCCCCAGAATGCTGGGGCATCGCAGCATCTAAGCGAAGCAGTTTGAACCCTAGTTTCAGGCCCCAGAACTCAACCCTTGATCTTCAGCGCCAGTTTTGTGGCTTCCATGCAACATGCTTAAACCATGGTGTACCCGTCACATTTAGAAGTGGAGCACCCAACAACCCCGAGGCTCAGGTGTCCGGCATATTTGTTAACATTTGTAGGCGAGAGTCTGGAAAACGTCCGACGCTACACAGAGTAGTCCGCTGACTCCCAGAGCTGCATTCGACAAACCAGATTTCCGACAAAATGTTCCGGTAATACTCATACTTTAGCTGCACATACTACTCTGTTGTTGTTTGTGCACACATCAAAAGCTCGGCTGCCGAAGCTATCCCCGAGGCTACTTGTAGTAGTATTTGCCTATGAAAACTCGGGGAAAAAACACACGTCCATGGGAAAATCGAGAAATCAAATGAAGGTCCCAGGGCCTACACGTATAATGACATTTTACCGCAATGCCTACGCCGCCAACAAGTTTCCCACCTGCCTTCTCAATCACTCCTACCTTGCAAACAGCCCGCCAGCTGAGAGTTACATCGCTGCCTCAAATGCATTTCCAAGTGCCCAAATTGAAATGATTGCTCTTCTTACACATGATTCAAACACATGCTCGCGGACAACCTGCGTTGAACCATCACAATCACATCGAGCAATGTGCTGCTCTAGGCGCGTTTGTGTAATCGCGGGAGATGCTTGATTGGCTGCTCAGGTTCCCAGAAAATCAGAACGGTTAGTGGAATAGACAGGTGTGGCTGGTTCCCCTGTGCCAACAGTGCTACTAATTTGGGACTGGCGGGATGGCGCTGGAGCGAGAGAGAGGGAGGAAGAGAAAGAGAGAGCGAGAACTGATTCTGCCCCCACTCTGTTTCCAAATATTGCTTCAGCAAATGTTGCCGCCAATAGATGTAAGCGGTTCCATGAGCTTGCATAGGTTACGATTGATGGCAGTGAGGCAACAAAGGGAAACGCAAAACAATGCATAGATGGACTTTCACATAATATTGCGTCCATGCCCTTCACACCCCAATGCGAGCCACATCTTACAAAATTTGAATTTTCCCAAGCCCGGGGGAAAGTTGCATACCCCCGATCAGCTAAGTTGAGCTGCAGCCCCCGCCTCACAGCTAGGGCTTCAAAGGGCAAACATGCAAGCACTTGCATGATTTTTGGACCGTGACAACCATGATGAAGGCCTTGGGAGGCATAGTTGTGTATAAAGCAAAACAACTTTCCGAAAGGCAGCATGCTTCGTGATCTTGCACTTGTTGTTTCTTTCGATCCGAACTTGCATGAGCTAATCAGCATCCGTCAATTGGCATGCCTCAATTTTCAACCCATTTTGGATACATGTTGATGAATTTCAACACAGTCCGATAATCTCCCATAGATTCGAAGGATTCCACTAAATTCCGACAATAAATACGACAAAAAATCAACAAATTTTCGACAAAATCCGACAATGTAGCCTCTGGGGCCGTACAGACCATCCGTCAGCTCTGACACACTACATATGCCATGTAGGCAAATATGCTCTACATGGAGCCTCAGGCTTTATCCTATCTCCAAAGTCCTCTTAGCATCCTCTAATGAGTCACAATCAAAGCCTGGTATTAAAATGGTCTACCCAGAACCATATAAAGACTCAAAAAGGCGGCTGCACCCATTTTGGTTGGGACGATCCCTTACTAACCTTCATCTACCCTGGTTTTGATTGTGCATCAAATGAGTGCGCCCGGTTCCCCTGAGAGATCCGTCACCTTTAAGCACCACAGTGCTCCGGTTGCATTTTGACCGCGCAAGTGCAGGGTCGTTGGTTTTGGAAACCGGTTGCCCCCAAAAACCCAAGTCGTTTTTTCGTTTTTTTCCAGAAAGAGCTCATTTAAGGAGAGTTGCGCCCTCCCCCTTTTCCAACCAGGCTGTGGGCTACTCTGGTCAGCATTGAACGCCAATAAAAACGTGTCTCCATTTTGGGGGATCCCTAATCTGCAGGGCATAAAATGTCTACACCCAAACCAGTGCCGGGGAAAACCCTGGATGCCCGGTGGCGAGAACAAGTACTGCATAATCCTTCACCCGTACCGGTAGCTTCCATTTGGGTGTAGAAACAATCTAAGGCTGGGGAGTAGTATGAGGGGCAAAGAAACTTCATTCTAGCTAATAGTTTACTCCCAGCACAACTCTGTTGGGTTTTAAAGTGCCCATAACCCCATAAAGATTCACGCCTTGCGGCGGTTTTTCGTTCGATTCTGTTCACCAACCAAAAACTACCTTCCAAACCGTGGAACCCAGGGTCCCCTCGATCTTCCTAAGGCCCATGGAAATTGGACTATTGGACCATGGCTTGCCGTCAGGGTACCCCACAACCAAACAACTACCCCCCCTCCAAGAATCATGGAAGCTGACGATCGGAGGGTTTCGAAAGACGACATCTTTCTTGTTGGGAAAGGCTCCTATCCACTTCAATTGTTCTTGGCAGGAGGGTTTCAGAATAATCTAGTCGAAACAAATCTTGTCACTTCCTGAGTGGATTGGCAACAAATAGTCCAAAATGTGGTTTCACCATTAAAATGGTCTTCCCAAAAAGATTTAAATCCAGGAAACTCGGGAAGTGAGACAAATATATTTAGGAATTCACCATGAAACTCCAGGGGGTTCCTCCCATCACAAGCCCCACGCCTGCTTGCTCTCCACTGCTCGGGCGACGCCTTTCAGTCCGAACTTGGCCTGACCTGGCGAGGAATCCATCGCGTGAGTCATATGGCTAGGTGCTGGTTGCCTACTCAACGTATTGGTGACCCCGAAAAAAACATACCCTCAAATCCACAGCCCTAAAAAACCTGGATCCACAAATATCTTGAAATGGGATCTTGGCCTATTCAACTTTCACCAACCCCAACAGGATACAAAAGCCGCAGCCCTAAAAAGAAAGTGGATCCACAAATATGCCGTGAAATGTGATCTTGGCCAACCGTATTCGGTGATTTCCCATGTTTGAGAGTAGTTCAGGTAGGTCGCGCCCCAGGCACATACACCCCTCCATGTAGGAGGTACCTACATAATTAAGCTATAATTAGAATGGCTATCTCAACCAGCAATTCCGTAACTATTTGCCAATGTAAAAGACAACAACCCTCCCAAGCCACGTCCTTTGGGGGACATCAGAATTCGGGATGCGTGTCAGTGCATCAGGGTGCCAATGAGGACTGGCGCAGGTCACCAAAGAGCCGAAAATGCCCGAATGGCAGCAAAGGCACCTTCAGTTGCTTGGATCCTCACCAAATGCTCCTGCACCTGGCTGCTGCCACCCTTGTCTAGATCGCCCCAAGTACCCTCAGAGCCTTCGCCCAGAATGGCAGCAAGAGCATCTTCAGTTGCTGGACCCACGCCAACTTGTCCATCCTCACGGATGGCAACGAAAGTTGTTGAACATGTGCAAAGGCAACATGCCCAAAGGAAAACGCCACCACGAGGACATCCTTGGAAAATGTGACAGTCGAAGCTGCTGCATATATTGGACCAGGCCAGAGCCGAGTCATTGTTGGCCGACCCTTCTTCAAAACTCCCGCTGGCACTCCTCATCACCACCCGTCCAGGTCCTGTGGTGGCTCGAAGCCCAACCGCCCCATTTCCGCAAGCGCGTCTCCCTGAATTGTCGGTCTGAGGTGCCACGGGCTGCACCGAGGCAAGGGCCGCAAGGGTGCTGACGACAGAGGTGGTGCCGGATCTGCCAAACTTCGCTCTTGCCTGAAGCAGGCCCGGGGTGCCGCGTGGAGTGACCAGAGCGCTCCCCGGACGGCGGCAAACGTAGCTTGGCTTGGATCTGCTGGACTCGCAGCTGGCTGCAATCACCGCCAAAGTTAGGATGGCCCCAAGTACCCACAGAGCCGTCGAACTCCAGGATGGGAGTTGCACCTGGCTCTCACCACCCTTGGCATCGCCCCAAGTAACCAGAAAGCCGTCTGCCAATACTGCAGCAAATGCAGCACTAGTTGCTTGGCTCTGGAGAGCGAGGCTCAGCCCTTGCCAAGCAACCCCCCTCTTGGATTGCGCCGAATCCGACCAGAAGGATTCAACAAAAGCCCAAACGGAGCTCTTGGAATCATCACTCTCGCCTGAAGACTGCACCGGCCATCCCAAAGTCCCCCGTTGTATCAACATGAGGCACCGTTCCAATCCTCTTGCCAGTTTCTTTTCCAAGGGCCCCCACCAGTCGACTCATTCCTGGGCGGGAATCCGGTAGACGTACCCTCCACGTTCGGAAAGGTTTCGCCTTCAGCCAAAGTACTGTGAACCTTGCGCCATGTTGGTGTCCTGTTTTTTTGAGCCGCCCTTTATGCGCGGTTACAAGGAAAACTGAAAGGAAACCACCATTTGTGGGGTTCCCCTCAAAAAAGACGGACCCATCCACGGGTACAAAAGCCGACGAGCCGACGAGTTGCCTCTGTGCTCCGGCTGCGCATGCTTGGCAGCAAGGCGGAGCCTCAAGGGCGAAAAGTCGCCGATATGCAAAAAAACTCTGTGTTCCCACCAAAACAGGTGGCTCGATGCTTCTAGTTGATACCCCTGGGTTTGGTGGTAAACCGGGAGGCCAAAAGGAAAAGTGTTGCGACATTCTGAGATTTCCGCAAAAAGAGACACACCCAAACAGGGTCAGAAGAAACTCATCAATCAGGCACCCACTAGAAGGCCTTCCAAGAGGGCGACCCCCCCGTATGGTGGACACTTAGAGTCTATGTTGCAAGCTTCTTCGGGTTGATTGGGTTTTCTAGAGCTTGGGCTTGCAAAATAGACTCTGTGTGTCCATAGCACTTTCCCCCCGCCAGATCAGGGCGCTTCCCCTGATGGTTTTTCGTCGGGGCATGGCTTGGGGACCTTCTCGAAGCAAACCCCGACACGCACTGCCCTGTCTTGGATGTTGCCCTTGTGGCCCGGCCTGAAAAAGGGGAAGCGAAGAGGAAACGATCAATTGGGACCCAACCAACAAACCAAACACCGAGAAACACCAACCAAAAAAACACAAGCACCACCAAACATGAAAATAACTAAGCCTCAGCTTCCCTCTATCTGCTGGTTTGGGTTGTTGGTCTGGCGGTTTAGGAGAGGGCTTCTTATTTCCCTCACTAACCATCTGAAGTGAAGGCCAATCCAAACCAACTAAGGCTCACTTCCAGAGTGGACGCCCCCCCAAAAAAAACCGGTTTGAATTATGCCGCTAGAATGGTGCAAGTTTCCCCCAAAAGTAGAATTGAAGTGCATGAACTCCGGAAGTGAGAAGTTGCCCGAAAGAGAGTCCAACAGCAACACCACCAAAGCACCATGCCACTTGGTTCAGTCTGAGGCTCTGGGCCCCCAGAGCGCTTCTGGTTCAACCCCTTGCGTGCCACGCTGGACCTGGCGGCTTCGAGGAATTGGTGTCCTTTTGAACATCGGTTTCCTATTTTCATGGTACCGTTTTACCCTTTTTAGCGGTGGGTTTTGAACTGAAAGCTACCTTCTGGAAGGCTTTTTGTGGATGGTACCCTCCCTCCAACCATCATGGAGGAGCTGACGATGGGTGGGTTTTGGAAGACTATGCTATTGGGGAACCCTTGCCTTTTACACATCGAGGTTTGTTTGTCATTTTCTTTGCATGGTACCGTTTTATCTTCTAGGGGTGGTTTTAACTGAAAGCTACGTTCTTGAAGGCTTTTGTGGATGGTACCCGCCCTCCAACCATCATGGAAAAGCTGATGGGAGGGTTTTGGAAGACTATGTCCCTTCTAAAAAACCTGTTCCTTTTGCACATCCAGGTTTTTGTCCTTTTCTTGCATTGAACCGTTTACCCTTTTTAGGGTGGTTTTATTTTAACTGAAAGCTACCTTCTGGAAGGCTTTTTGTGGATGGTACCCTCCCTCCAACCATCACGGAAAAGCTGATGGGAGGGTTTTGAAACACTATGTTCCTTCTGCGGAACCTTCCTGTCCACTTCCATGATTGTTGGAGGGAGGGTACCTTCTCCGCAGACAAGACCACTCAAGAAGGGGTAACCTCGAAGAAGGGAACTGCGCCCAAGTAATAGAGAGTCTGACCAAACTGGAACGATGACCCATCCCGCTTGTGGTTTCCTTTTGGATGAAACCAAAACATAGGCTATTTGGCATCTAGTTTGAAGAGGAGCCCAACTTCGGTTATTAAAGGGAGATCCCCGCGCAACAAGTTGGGCCCCAAAAAAGTGAAAGAAAGCACATGAGCCATAGCATGATTGGGGGGCAATGATAAAAGTTAGGACCCCCCCCCTTTTCCGTTGGTCTTGCAAGGAAATACAAAGGCAAAACGCAGTTTTCAAGGGGGTCCAACCTTATTTTTGGACATACAAATGGTCTCAATGGCCAGTCACTCGTAGGCCAGTATGGGTCTCCGAACAGGCCCCACGCGCCTGGAGGGGAAACAAGGCAGCAAAAAGGTGGATGAAGCTATCCAGCAAGGTCTGCCTTTCTTGGGGCACCCCCAACAAATGGTGGTTTCCTTTTGGCGTCCCTTTAAAACCGCCAAAAACAACAGGGGTACCCTCAACAAAAAGACAGACCCAGGTCGAACACGTTCCAGTTCAACGTTCCAGCCACATCATAGAGCCATACAAGGCCCAAAAGCTAAAGAACAAGCTGGCTTTCAGCTGGATTGGTTGATGCGCTGCCTGGTCTTGACATAATGTTGTTGGCTTCTTCGATCTTTGTGAGTGTTTTTTGAAACCAAAATAACATGTTTAGAGGTTCTCCTTAATGAAACAAACAACTTTGGCCACTGCATCTTGACTCGCCACCCGCACCTGGCAACTTTTCCGCAGCTTTCTGTCGAGAGGTTTGGCGTTGAGAGCCACACGTGAAGCACAGTGTGCGACGGCACACTCGGGGACCGCTCGGGGACCACGTCACTCAAATGGGTATGTCAAATTCGGGATCTGGACCCCACAATGGGTGGCTTCCCTTTAGAGCAACCAAACAAGGGGTTGCCTCAACATCTGGGTATGCGGAAAATAAGATGTTCGGGCTCTGTATCAGATTTAGTCAACCCTGACATCATGAATCCTCTTGGAGACCCCAGAAAACACAAACCCACCTGGCTCACGCAGACTTGCCAGTGACAGCTTTGGGCCGGCTGTACACCACTTGTTGCGGACCTTCTCGCCTGCCTTCCGCAGCTTTGCTGCGTTGGCTAAGCTTTGGCTTCTTCAGATCCTCCAAGGGTTGGTGGTGGAGTCTGGTGGCATTTGTTCCCCACCTTTCACGGTGAACGAGGCAGAAGCATCCTGCATAATCGCTGCAACCCACGTGGTTCAACAAAGGGGTGTCCCCTTTTTTTGTGAATAGTTCTTCTTGGATGCACCATGTTTCAGGTTTCTTGGGTCCGTCCAAGAAGAAGCGTCTTTCTCAAAAATATTTTTCTGGCTTGCTTGTGGCTTCCGTTTACTTCCATTTGCTTCTTCGCCCCCTGGAAACAATACAACATATGTCCAGTAGTGATAGATTCCCTTTAAAACCAACAGGGGAACCCTATTCTGTTTCAAAAACAAAAATAAGTTAAGCAATAAATGGAAGTTTAGACCCCCTCAAAAAAAAAGCGATCGATCCGAATCCACAGGGGAAATGTTTCCAGGCGCGAGCTCTTCGAAGGCTCCTCCAGGGACAGCTTCAGATTCTTCCGCTGCTCCGTGGGCAATCCACCCAGCGCCTCAAAGAGCTGCTGCTTCAGCGCTCTGTCATCTTGGCATCGCTCGTTCTCCTTGTACACGCTGCCTCGGCGTTTGCCTCTTGTGAGCTGGTTTTTGTATTTTGCCTGGAGCTGCTGGAAAAAGCCTGGGGGCTTTCAGCTTCTTTCTTGTTTGTAATTATTTTCTCTGGGGAGTGGTGGCGATTCCTCTAGGTGCTTGGATTTGCTTTTGGCTCTCCTGCGACATCTAAGGGCTCCAATCGTGAGATCGATCAGCCCGCCCCTTGTTTTGGATTGCGAGGTTGTGCATTCATTAGCTCGGGCCCGCAACCGCATTGTGAGAACAGAACCTGGATCCCCAACTGACCCTTAAAGATAGAACATCCTCTCCTAAGTTCAAGACAATAGCCGATGTTCCAAGGGGCCAAGGATATCCAAGGATACTTGGAGGGTCCAGAAATCTGGTTTTTGGGGCCCAACCCTTGCCACGCCGCCTTGGCGGAAGCTGCGCTTGGGCTTGCGCTTGGACTCCGTGAGCACCTAGGTCAAACCAGGGGATTTGGAGCCCCAAAAGGCAAACAAACCCCCCGGTGGGAAAATGAAGAAGCAACTAAACAAAAAAAAACGAAAAACTTGCTACAAAAACAATCTGGTTACGCAAATATCAAATAACCAAAACAAGGCAAACCAATTACACAAAAGAACACAGATGGACTTGAAAATAGCCCCCCCGCCCAACTTGCCTGCTTTCTTTCCCATGTCCAAAATCCCACCAAAAGCTGTGGTTGGGGTCCAAAATCCCACCAAAAGCTGTGGGTTGTGTTGGGTGGGGGGGTGCTAGGCTGGGAAGACCACCCCGCTGGCCCACGTCGCCTTGTAGGCCTCGCAGACCGCGAGCCACCGCTGCTCCGCGTCCGGCGCCTCGCTCACGTCCGGGTGGTCCACTCGCGCGCGCTGGCGGTACGCGGCCTTGAGCTCGGCGTCGCTGCTGCCGGGCTCCACGCCCAACACCTGCACGGGTCAACCGAGAATTTCCCCAACGTCACCAAGGAAATCCCTGGGCTGCCCTCAAATCCCCCGCTAAAAGTTTAACTTCTAGTGGGTCAAATGGAAACTGCCACTAAACGCTGACAAGCTAAAAGGCAAAGGGGATGGCTGGGAGCCACCAAGATCTCACCTTAAACAACCCGGGGTGATGCTTTTAGGGACATTTTTCGTAGTGTTTCCTGTATTTACCCTGGATATGTTCCCCTAGAAACGTCACCAGGGAAACTCAATGGGCCAAAGTGATGCTTCTAGTTTCCTCTTTTTCTACCCGAGATTTCTATGGTGGGAAATGAAGAAAGGGCCTAACCCCAAAGACTAACCCCCTCAAAAAGGGTGAGATTCCCTTGTATCACAGAAGTGGGGATAAACCCCTTAGAACGTCACCAGGCAAGTCTCGCCGTAAACAACCCGAGGTGATGCTTCTAAGGACTTTTTCATACAGTTTCTTGTATTTCCCCTGCAACCGTCACCCCTGCCAATGCAAACTCACCTAGGGCCAAAGTGATGGACAAAACCACGGGGGGACACATAGTAATCCCCTTTCGTACCAGTAGGGCGTTGCAGTGGCTGGTGGCTGGAAAAGATCGGGTTGTAAAAACGCTCTCAGCTTCCCAGGGGTTCAAACCCCCAAAACGCCAATCCAAACCACTAAACAGAACCTGAGTCTCGTGTGTGTGTGTGTGTGCAGTCGCTGAAACTGGTTGGGCAGGTGCAAACGATTGCATGTGACCCAAACTCCATGGCTGTCGTAATTCCAGGAAGGCCCGGAATATGATCTCAACGTGAGTCATAATCAAAAATCCGGCATAACAACAGCCCAGAACCATGCAAATAATCAAGAAGGCGGATATCCGCACCCATTTCTCGTTGGGTGTGTTCCCTTCATCTACCCCGGTTTTGAGCAAGTGGCTCGTGTTCAATGAGTTTCGGGATGGGGATCAGAAACCCCCTAACACTAAATGAGGAATCCGACGGCCACGGCCAAATTGATGGATACCCAGGAAAGAATCCAAAGCAAATATCATCACAGAAATCCTACCTCACTTCACCTGCCCCACCCGCCCCCTCACCTTCGGCAAAAACAAAAATGGACAACAACGACAGATGTTGTTGAAACTATGGGCCCTGCGTGGCCCTGCCTCGTAAGGGTCCAAGGCGCGCAGGGACAATCTGCTCACCCGGCCAAGCTCGCCGACCCTTCGGTCGGCCCGGCCAAAGCCGCCCACAAAGCTGCACTGAGCCGCTAGCCAGAGGAAAATCGCGGTTCGGCAAACATAAGCTCGGCGCATGCACATGAGCCTGGGCGGTTTTGAGCCTAAATCGGATGTTTTGCCCTCTCTCAAGGAGGATACGAGATGGGAGACGGCTAGACTCCATCCGAGTCACAAGAACAATCTGATTCTCAAGCGGTCCCAAAAGCACTGGGAAAGACATTGAAAGGGCTTCTTGCCGCAAGAAGGCTTTCCCCCTTGCCCTTGCTGCTTCTTGTTGCCCATGTTGCCCATGTTGCCCCTGCCTCCCACCTGATCCGTCCGCCAGTCCTGAGCAAGCATGTGTGATCGCTGCTTGGTCGCTGGCTTCTCCCAGTACTCCCAAAAAGAGAAAATGAGGAATCCAAACGAGGAATTTCAAAATCAGCACGGCTGGTGCAAATTCAAAGAAAAAAACACCGGTTCCTTCCTAGGCTTCTGCTTCAACTGGTGGGCGCGAACTCTGTCCATCCACAGCCATGCATGCGAATCGCCAGAATCGACCGGCCGGTGTCCTTAAGACCAAGTCGGCGCGGAAGATACGCCTCGCCAGCATCCAACACCCACCGCACCGATCAAGCTTCAGTTCATATAAGTCAATGCTCATTGTGTCACCCGGCTGGATTTTGTGAGCATGGAATTTTGAGGCTCTTTGCCGCATGTCATCCTCTTGACGACGCTACCTCGACCAATGTTGCCCACGAGAGTTCCCCAGTCGGCACCAACAAAGGGCCTTTTGGAGGCGCGCAGCGGGGCAGCCATGGCGGCATCGCGGCGAACTGGCCGTTGATGTCTTCAACTTTGACGGGAACTGTTGCTAGGGCCTTGGATTCGCCAAGCCAAGAGTTGTCAGCAACCCAGGTTACGACCCACTAAAATAGCCCCCCCCCTACAAGTAAGTGGGGTTCACCTTTTCAGTGGCTAACCACTGACGCTAACGTGGCAACGGACATACGCCCCCCACCTACAAGCAAGTGAGGTTAACCTTGTTATGAGGGGCACGGTGTTTAATTTCGGTGCCTAAGCACTGACGCTAACTTGCCAACGGGTCCACGTCCGTTTGTCAGTTCCTCCGAGGGCCCCGGCTGCTGGCTGCTGGCTAGACATGTGTATCATACGGAATTGCCCATGGATCCAAAACCAGTGGAATTGACTGGGAACAAATGGAACTCCATCCATCCCCTGGCCCTTGGCTTCCTGAGTCCAATGAACTTTGCTATGCTTGGGCGCCCTGAGGCCAGCAAAAAAGGGGCAACTTGAAGCGCTGGCCCAGCTAGCATCAGCTTGAGCCAATTGTTTGAAGGTGGTAGCAACGGGCTGTCACGTTTTTCAGGGCAACTTTTCGAGTGGTCCAGGGAAAGGGAAACCTTCGAACTTCCCGGTTTGGGGGTGCCCCCAGAACACAGACCATGGTGCTGAGTCTGTGAAATTCATGGCACCAAGTGGGGGTGTCTTTTTTGAAGGTACCCGTCTTTGGGGTGTTACAGCGAAACCACCCATTTTGGGGGTCCGAGTTCTATCAAAGGACACCCCCAAGTGCTTAAGCCGAAGAGCGCATGCGTCGCGCAGTGTTTCTGCAAGCCTCACTTTCTGTGCTTGCATCTATACAGCCCAGTGCGCACGTTTGCGGGGCGCCAAGTGGCTTCGTTGCAATTTGCTTGGTCATTTGATGCTTGTCTTTGTGTGTTTGTCATTGAAATCGGGGAAGTCTATCAATTCCCTCCTGTCTCACTAGGTGCCATGGGCAAAGCACCTATGTTGGCCATGGTCACGAATCCCTGAATAGGAGCCCTTGTCATGGTTGTCTCAAATTCCAAGGGATGGATGACCAACCCTTACCAACCCAAGGGGTCTTTGACCATGGCACCTTTTTGCCCCGTTCTCCCCGCAATCGTGCGCAGGGGCTTCGGGAGTCATTGTGGCTAGGAGTGCTGAGGCACTCAGATTTTTGATGCTGGCGGCACCTTGGAAAATGCTGGCGCCCGCACAGCATGGCGGAATTCCGTGGGATCTGTTCGATCTCAATTCCTGACAGCAACGTAGACCTGGGGGTAGGCCCGGAAGATGACATGCGGCACTGTGTGCATCTGCTGCATCTGCACCGGCTGCGGCATCATGTGTATCTGCGGCATCGGCTGCATCGGCTGCATCTGCTTCATTGGCTGCGCCCTTGCGACGGGAAACCATGGCACCCTTTGGTACATCGATGGTGCCTTGGTCCAACGGACGACAAGCTGCTCGCTTGCTTTGGGGGGCCTTCATTTGCTGAAGCCGGAGAGTTCAAAACAGGGGCTTTCTTAACAAGAAAAAGTACACGTGCCTGCAGGATAAATCTGTGAAGGGAAACCAACAGAACAGAAACACAACTGTTCCTGTGGGGCCCCTATTTGGAGAACCCTATTATGCCAAAAGGGAACAAACTTCCAACGCCGAGTTCGGTGCGTGGCTATGGCTTGCGCACAACAAAACTCTGCGTGTGTGTGTGTGTTGATTGGAGGGACAAACCGACGCGCACACACACACACACACACACTTATCTCGAGAGGCTTCACTAGCCGAGATGCAAAACGCAGTCAGTAAAAATGCTTGAATGCAAATGCAAATCAACAGGTCACAACATCGACACCGAACAGGAAGCAACAGCGACAAACAGAAACCGCAAAAAGAATCAGGAAAGAGGGTCAGGAAATAGGCAGGTACGCCGGATTGATCAGATCCGGTATCCACCGAAATGCCGTAGCTTCATTGGACTGGATAGGCAAATCGGCTCCAGTCCCCCTGCAATGTGGAATTTCCGTCCGTGCTCCAGGACGCTTCACACACACGGAGCCCCAACTGGGGCGACATCACTTGTGCAAGGCCCATTGAGTCTTGCAAGCATCAATTGTGCGAGAAAGTCTTGTGGCGATGACTGACCACACATACTTGGCTTTGGAATTGGTCTTAAGGGAACGGAGGAGTTCAATCTCTCCCTCAGTCCAAGGCTGCGAGGCTTCAGGTTCGGCCTCAGTAGAGGCATCAGTCCTGGTCGATGTGGTAGCTTCGCTTGGTCCACGAGCAGGTTTTGGATGCCGTAGATCGTGAGGAGGCCAAATCACGTGCGCGGCGAGCTCGTTTTTCGCCGGGAGAAGACGGAGGAGGGGTGGGCGGAGCCCAATGATCAGGGAATTGTTCGTCATGATCAGTGGGAAGGTGTTCATCTGGAGCATCAGGAGGTGGCTCAAAGAGGTCCTCGAGGGGGGCCAGGAGGGGTGTTGGTGGTGAGTTGGTCAGGTCCTCAATGGCGGGGTTGAACGTGGCCTCCGGTGCCAAATCAGGTTCGGCAGGCGGACTCTCAGGGAACTCGCGGATGGTGGCGATGCCTTGTTGGGCAATGCCAAGGATGAGTTCGAAGTCTTGGAGCAGCTGGCGTGCTGTGTTGGTATCCATGCTCGTAACGGATTTTGGTCAAACAGTCAAACAGCTGCGGCGCGAAAATCAGGTCAAATCTGTCAGGATGCAAAGGCAGAGAAGAAAACCAGTGTGGTTCCGCAAAGGACGGTTTTTCTTCTCTTTGTAAGGTGAAACCGTGTTGGAGGTGCAACCTCTTCAACATTGCAAGACCCTGACCTCGCTGAAACTCAGGAAAGGAAACTCGGTTGATCAGCGTGCGTCCGGAATAACATCCAGATTCCTTATGCATCAGTGGTGCGGCTGACTTGACGGAGAGCATGTTGTGCTTCTCATGCGAGGGGATGAAGGAGATGGTGCTGCTTGTGAGGTTCAGTCGGAACCCCAAGAAGTCCAGGGCGGCTTCTGTGTCCAGGAAGATGTCTCCTCCATAGAAGTGTTCGTCGCACAGTATGTTGGCTGCCGGAGTCGAGAGCCACCTGGGGGTGGCGATCACGAGTCTGTTGTCCACGTAGCGGAGTAGGAGAGTATCTTCAACGGAGCGAAGTCCCGATGTGATGTGAGTGTTGGTCCAACATTGTTCGGCGACCGCGATCACCATCAAACAGAGAGCTGGGGACGCGGGGGATCCCATCGGTGCCCCACGTGTTTGCCTGAATGAACGAAGGCCGACAGAGAAGATCTGCATGTCAAGGGTGGCCTGAATGATCTCGGGGATGTCGTCGAGCCACAGGGTGCGTTGTGTGGGTTTGTGTCGGCGACGGCGTCCGTTGTAGACGCGGGTGATGGCAGAGGTGTCAAGTGTGTCCACTGTGAGGTGTGTGGTAGAGGAGTGTGGTTGTCGTTGTCGGTACCAGGTTAGCAGTAGTCGCCAGGCGAGGAAGGGTGCAAGCATCGGTCTCGAGGGGCCAGGTGGAATGAGGCCCCGGAATTGTAAACTGGATCGAATGGCGGAAAGGCATGCCTGGTGGTGTGGTTCAGGCAGGTGTGTGGCTATGCGATGAAGGACATAGAGAGCGGCGGGTGGGAAGTCTCTGGTCCGTATGTAACGGATGGCATCAAATCGTCGTAGAGTGTTGCTGCCAAGATCGCCCAAAAATCGCCACAAATCCAGGCGGTTGTCCACGCGTTTGGCCAGGAAGGCCTGTTGTAGGGCGATGGGTAGTCGTAGTCGGCGGCGTTTTCGCCAGATGGTGGCGAAGCCCATGTGCCGGGATTGGGAGAAGTCCAATTGGCGTATGAAGCCCGTGCGTGGCCGGAAATGTTTCTCGATGAAGCCAAAATTGAGAGACGGTTGCAGTTCCTGGATGTAGAACTGTTCAGTGGCAAATAGGTCCGTTGCCGGAACGACAGTGTGAATGGGCACCGAGGTGTAGTGGTGGAAAAAGTCGAAATGTGCCCACCACCGGACTGCCAGTTCGGCATTGACCAGATGATGTCGCTGAACTTGGAGTAGTTTGCGAAGTTGGCTGCGGCCCCGTGCCATGAGGGAGGCGCGAGTGGCTCCGAGGTAGAAAAAGGCCTGCCACTTTGGATGGCTGGTGAATCTCAGATAAACCGCTGAAGGGACAAGCTGAGAAGAGAAATCGGAAGCAGGGTTGTCCAGGCCAAGTCGAGTAAGCAGGGCTTTCAGTCTGCCGGAACCACAGGAGAGATGGCAGACGTCAAGTAGCTGAAGCTGTGCGAGTAGCCAGGAGCAAGAATGACGTGCGGTGACGTCATCGGTTGGGAAGAACCGAAGAGTGAAACGGAGGACAGTTGGCAGCAGTGGTGTTGCCAAAAGTAGCTGAAGCTGTGCGAGTAGTTGCGACGTGCACGCGGTTGTTGGCAGCAAAAATTTGTGCTGCCTGGCTGTGCGTCGTTGTCGGTGTGCTGTTGAGAGTCACTGGTAGAAGTGACTCGCAGCGGCCAGGATGCGGCCCAAGGCCGATGACCCCAGTTTTGATAGGGTTCGCACCGGGATGCCCCATAGCACAGCGGCTCGTTCGAGTTGGGCTCTGGTGTCGGAGTCCAGTGTGGTTGCCCATTTTGCGCAGTCGTTGGACCAGCTTTTTAGGACTTGCTTGCTCTCTTTGCTGGTTTTCTGAGAGGTGATCCATCGCTGGACTTTGGTGTCGGAAATGTCGGGTGGGAAGTTGCTGGTGAGCCATTGGCAAACGTGGGGAGGTGGTTGGAGCAAGTCGCGGGGCTCCTTCCAAGTGGGTGGGGAGGGGAGGGGGGGAGGGGTCGGGGTGCCGCCGTGGGTGGAGGGGGCTGGAGGGTTGCCGCCGTGGGTGGGGGGAGCCGGGGGGGGTTGGGAGTCGTCTGCAATGCGAGTGGGCAGGGGTAGAGCGGGGGATCCGTCCTGCGGTGATGTGTCAGGTGTAGTCAACCGTGGTCGCTTTATGCCGAAGTCCAGGAGGGAGGCCTG